CCCCAAAACCCCAAAACCCCAAAACCCCAAAACCCCAAAACCCCAAAATTATACAGCTTTATTGAGATTTGTAGAAGAATTATGACACAAGTGAGGTGATTGATTCTTGATCGAGGTATGAGCTAACTAATCTGTTGTTGGTAAACTCTAGTACTTCATCCTCATCCATAGAAAGTAGCAACTTTTTGTTGTATTTGAATAATTTAATAAGTATTTGAGTAATTTTCTTCTCACCTTCATATAAGAAAACATCTAAAACTCTTATAACCAACTCTTTTGGAAGCTTATAGGCAAACAGTGAGATGTAATACTGTGAAAATATCCCAGCAAATGGAACCTTTCATTTAACCATTCTTTTATACAGTTTTGGCTCTTCTTGATATAAAATTCTTCGTCAATTCTTCACAACAGCAAAGAATTTAGGTGTCTGATCTTTCAAAATAAGCCTCCAATTTTTATTGAACATAATATCATAGAGTCACCAGAAAGATAGTTCCTCATCTTCAATAGTGTCTAACAAGTAGTAGACAATGTAATTCATCCCTTGAGCATATCCTAGTTCATTATCAAGCCTTGCATAAGCAGAGAGGATGTTGGTCAAACTTTCAAGTTGAGCCTAAAAATAAAATATTTTCACTAACTTTAGTAATAACAGCTCCTTTTGTCCTGATGACATCTTTATCAATTTCTTTTTGGACTTTCTCTGAGGGTCCTTTACTAACAAGCTTATCATAAAAGTCTATATTTTAGTATATTAGCTTACCTTCTCCATATTTTTCTCGATTGACTTTGGCTTGGCATAGGAAGACCCATATATATCCTCGAAGCTCGTCAGGAATCCCCTTTATTAAAGATTCGCTTATTCTTTTACGACTGATCTCGTATAACTTTCCTTTTCTATCATTTGCTATTATTTGTGCCCATTCTTTTGGCGAAAAGCGGATGTCTCAACCTATTAATGCCTTTTTATTTCTGCTCAAGTGTCATGCCAGCAATTTCTTTCTTCTTAGCTCTTTCTTTACGATCAACTCTTAGAATCATAGCTTCTTTAGTGTTTCTGGGAACAGCAGCCTTCCTGATAACTTGGTTCTTAACAGAGTACATATCCCTAGTGTCACCATCCTGGAGTTGGACTCCTTCTTTGTTATGCTTTTGCCAGAAGCTTCCTTCTAATTCCATTCGGCTCTTAATCTCTTTGGTCATTGGTGTGCTATTACGAGGAAGATCATCATTATGATCATCGTCACTTCCATCGCTATCAAGGGAGACACTTCCTCGTTGCTCATCATTGTCAAGTGCTTCCTTGAAGTCTTCCATTGGGTCGTGCTCGTACATTGGAACTTCTTGTTCATCCCTGCGTTGCTCTATCACAGCATTCTGAGGGTCATGATATTCAGCCTTCTTCTTTTCAGCTGGATGTACGAAGTTAAAAATAGCATTTAAATTTTCCTGATGCTTGGTCTTACATTCTTTCTCTGCAGGATTATCCCTAAAATTATAGCACAAAATCTTACGGATTGGTGGTTTCTTTTTCAAGGTATCTAGAAATAACGGGGTCTATAACCGGTTTCTTGGTCTCTTCTTCCCGGAGTTTAGAACTTCCACCAGAGGAGAGGAAATCTGATGAATCAGATTTATCCTCAGAGTCCAGACTATATTTTATATAAGACTGTAGATGGAAGAAGATAATAACTTACTCGTTGTAATGTTCTTCACTATTTTCAGAACTATCCATTTTCGAGAAATTTCAATATTATTAATAATATTTGGGGTTTTGGGGTTTTGGGGTTTTGGGGTTTTGGGGTTTTGGGGTTTTGGGGTTTTGGGG